TCTACTATTTTTGGTTCTGAAATACAACTTTTCTGAACCGATGATAGCAGAAGGGACTCCGAGAACACGGTGTCCATTCTGTGGTCCTACATAAAACTAGACAGCAGGCCGGGTGCGGTGGTACGTGCGTGTAATCCCACGTAATCCCAGCACTTCGGGAGGCCCAGGAGGGTGAATCACCTGAGGTCAGGAGTTCTCAGCCTAAAATGGTAAAACCCGGTCTCTCCTAAATACACAAAAATGAGCTGGGCATAGTGGCACACGCCTGTAATCCAAGCTGCTTGGGAGGCTGACAGAATCTCTTGTACCTGAGAGGTGGAGGTTACAGTGAGCTGAGATTATGTCACTGCACTCCAGCCTGGCCAACAAGAGCGAAACTCCGTCTCAAAAAAAAAAAACTAAACTAAACTGCAAGGACCCACTTGTCAGCTGGCAGTTATGGGCCTGGCTCCATCCAGCACAGGGAGAGAGCCCAGCGCTCCTTCTGGCTCACATGCACGGTGGGCCTCTGCATAGCTCATGGTGGCTTTATCATTGTTAATACCCCCCATGGTCGATGCCCCCCGAATTGCCTCTTTCTAGGACACCCTCTTGTCTGGTGGGCAGTATGGGGTGGGTCCCCCCGTCACAGCTGTGTGAGGTGGGCCTGAGGAGCTGGGTATCAAGTCTGCCCCAGCCCGCCGGGGGCTTTGTGGGACTGCCTGTGCCCAGTGTCTGGAAGGCCGACTCCTGACAGCAGACCCTGTCTCCAAGCGTATCCACCCAGCCTGGTGTCTGCCATGGGGTTGCTTAGAGTTGGCCACAAAATCAACGCATGTGCAAGGTCAGTGGCTTGGCAGTGGACTCTGGGGCCTGTCCACGTGGCCAACAGCCTGCCTGCCACCTCAGCTCACCCATTCTGTGCCTCTGTTGCCTTGGATTTGGGTTCTGAGCGAGTACAGCCTTGCCTCTTGGACCATCCCGTGAGACGGGCAGCTCTCCACGTGTGTCCTCAGCACCGCACCCCTGCCGCAGGTATGGTGTCATCATTGTGGGCAACCCAAAGGCGCTGTCGAAGCAGCCGCTCTGGAACCACCTGCTGAACTACTACAAGGAGCAGAAGGTGCTGGTGGAGGGGCCACTCAACAACCTGCGTGAGAGCCTCATGCAGTTCAGCAAGCCACGCAAGCTGGTCAACACCATCAACCCGGTGAGTGCCCGCAGGGCAGCGGGGGCACGGAGAAACCCGGGCCCAAAACTGCTGGGAAGGTGGCACAGGGGCCCACGGTGCCCGTGAGCTGAGGGTGGGCAGCCCACTTTGTGTCTCCCGAGCTGTGTGTGGCATTTTTGGTTTGGGGCTGCTAGGTCCTGAGAGGCTTCTGGGAATTGGGCTCTACCTTCTGGGAACTGTGCTGCAGCAGCCTGGGACCTCGGACATGGTTTGCGAGCCTGGGGTGCTCTGGTGATGAGGGGCGTGAAGCTGCCTTAGCCGAGTCCCAGGGGTCAGCGTCAGAGCCCAGGTCGGGATGTCAGGGCAGGCCCAGAGCCCATGAGACAGCAGCTCCCTCCTTTCCCCAGAGAGAGCCCCTAGCACAGTGTCAACACCCACAGCGGCACACCTGCCCCCTCCCAGGCCACTGGTTGGTGGGAAGCTGTTCTTCGTGTTGAGATGACAAATTCCTCACCTATCTAAACCTTTGCAGGGGGCTCGCTTCATGACCACAGCCATGTATGATGCCCGGGAGGCCATCATCCCCGGCTCCGTCTATGATCGGAGCAGCCAGGGTGAGTCGCTCGGCAGGGGACCCAGCCGGCCCCTTTTCCCTCCACTGGGATGCTGGCCGTTCCCACAGCTGCAGCTTTGGGTGTCCCCCTTTCCTCCCCCTTGAGGGTGGGTTCTGGCTCCCTTGGCCTCCCAGCCCCCAGGGCATCTCTAGCCCCAGAGCACCCCGGGGCGTGCGTTTGTCGTTAGCCAGAGTCCATTCATCAGTGTTTCCTGGTGATGGAGCTAGTTAGCTTTTTCTTGCTTTTTGGTGGTGGTAGGATAGGGGCTGCATGTAGTACAAATAGAGCATTTTCATTAAAAGGATTTTTTTTTTTTGGTAAATGGAGGGTGCTTTTCATTTATTTTTTTGTTTAGAGACAGGGTCTCACTATGTTGTCCAGGCTGGTCTTGAACTCCTGGCTCAAGCAGTCCTTGCGCCTCAGCCTCCCACAGTGCTGGGATTACAGGCGTGAGTCTCTGTGCCCAGCCAATTTTCAGGGTTTTTTTTGTTGTTTGTTTTTCAGAGTCTCTCTCTGTCACCCAAGCTGGAGTACAGTGGTGCGATCTTGGCTTATTGCAACCTCCACCTCCTGGGTTCCATCAGTTCTCCTGCCTCAGCCTCCTGAGTAGCTGGGATTACAGGCACATGCCACCACGCCCAGCTAATTTTTGTGTTTTTAGTAGAGATGGGGTTTCACCATGTTGGCCAGGCTGTCTTGAACTCCTGATCTCAGGTGATCCACCTGCCTTGGCCTCCCAAAGTGCTGGGATTAATAGGCGTGAGCCCCTGCGCCCCACCCCAATTTTCCACCTTTTTTTTTTTTTTTTTTTTTTGAGACGGAGTTTCACTCTTATTACCCAGGCTGGAGTGCAATGGCGCAATCTTGGCTCACCGCAACCTCCGCCTCTTGGGTTCAGGCAATTCTCCTGCCTCAGCCTCCTGAGTAGCTGGGATTAAGGCATGTGCCACCATGCCCAGCTAATGTTTTGTATTTTTAGTAGAGACGGGGTTTCACCATGTTGACCAGGATGGTCTCGATCTCTTGACCTCGTGATCCACCCGCCTCGGCCTCCCAAAGTGCTGGGATTACAGGCGTGAGCCACCGCGCCCGGCCATTTTCAGCTTTTAAGATCTGTGTAGGCCAGTGATTCCCAGCAGACTCTCCTGGGGGAAGGTGATCCAGTCCAGGCAGGCTGCTGTAGTCAACATGGAGTCCTGCGAATCTGCATCTTCAGCCTGGAGGGCCAGCACACATGTGCAGCTCCAGCTGACTGGCTGATGGGGTGGGTGGGGACATCGCCGGGGTTTTACCAAGGCAGGTGACGCCTGACTGTGATTTGCAGGCCGGCCTTCTAGCATGTACTTCCAGACCCACGACCAGATCGGCATGATCAGCGCTGGCCCCAGCCACGTGGCCGCCATGAACATTCCCATCCCCTTCAACCTGGTCATGCCGCCCATGCCGCCACCCGGCTATTTTGGACAAGCCAACGGGCCAGCTGCAGGTGAGCACCTGTGGCCTGGGTGTGGCCCTCCTGAGAGCGCCTGAGGGTGTGCTTGTCTTCCAGGCCCTGGCCTCCTTCACATCACCCTGGACTGCTGTCTTTCAGGCCGAGGCACCCCGAAAGGCAAGACTGGTCGTGGGGGACGCCAGAAGAACCGCTTTGGGCTTCCTGGGCCCAGCCAGACCAACCTCCCCAACAGCCAAGCCAGCCAGGATGTGGCATCACAGCCCTTCTCGCAGGGCGCCCTGACGCAGGGTTACATCTCCATGAGCCAGCCCTCCCAGATGAGCCAGCCCGGCCTCTCCCAGCCGGAGCTGTCCCAGGTCAGGCCGCCCCACACAGAGCCCTCTCGGAGCCCTCCGACGGGACCTGCGGGAATGAGGGTGGGGCTGTGCACCTGGAATATTCCACCTGGAGAGCCCTGGAGAGCTGGTCTGGCGTGTGTCCCCTGTGCAAGTTACCTGTCCCTGAGCTGGGGTCAGCGGAGTGGTTCTCTGGCTCTTAGTTTGGGGACAGCTTTTCCATTCTCTCAGGCTGCTTAGGGCTGGATGGACGTGAGCGCCCTTGGCCAGTGGCTTACTCACCTCCCCACCTTGTCTTTCAGGACAGTTACCTTGGCGACGAGTTTAAATCACAGATCGACGTGGCGCTCTCACAGGACTCCACTTACCAGGGAGAGCGGGCTTACCAGCACGGCGGGGTGACGGGGCTGTCCCAGTATTAGAAGGCAAGCCCCCCGGAGCAGGCCTGGCCCCGCCTGGCTTCAGGGAGAGGGATGGGAGCGGCTCTCCCCAGGGAACTGCACTTAGAGGGGTGTTGTCTGGAAATGTGTGTGGGGCCCAGGGTGTGCTCAGCCTGTGACTTCCACTGCCAGTCAGGGTCGCTCCCTGTGTGTCCCAGTCACAGCCCCACTTTCCCCTTGAGAGAATTCTAGGGCTCCCCATGGAAAGGGGTGTGGAGGCCCTGAAGTTCCCATGGTGGTCCAGGGCAGGAGGACGATGATGGGCCCCTCCCCCACCCTGACGGGCAGCCCTCTGCTCGCAGGACCCCTGCGGGGCCTCGGTTTCCTCCTCAGAGTGGGGGAGGGCAGCTTGGGCCCTCCCTCATTGGCCTGTGTGCTGCAGGCCCGTGGGGTGCCAGGTGCCACCTCTCACTGCCTCCTGCCCTTCTCCCTCCCTTCAGGTGGCGGCGGAAGAGCTAAGCAACGTGGCTTAGTCCATCAGCATCTTATTCTGGGTAATAAAAAATAAAAATAAACGGATACCTGTTTTCCACTGCTAAAACTGAAGCACCACTGTGAGCGACAGGAAGGGAGAGCGCACGAGGGAGAGGAGCCGAGGCCGAGCGCCCCCTGCTGGCCCGCGGCGGCGAGGAGCAGAGGGAGCGGAGGAGGGGCCGGCCCGCGGGAGCCGCCGCCACCAGGAGGCCCCGCTCCGTCCCACCGGGGCTGCGGCCAGGGCGGAGGGAGGAAGACCCTCATCTCAGAGTAGCCCTTTCCTCTGTTCTTTTATTTCTTTTTCTCTTTGATTGAAAGGGGACTACGTCTTAGCAGGAAAAAACTTCGCATTTCTGTGCCCGAGCAGGCTCCTTCCAAAGGCCACGGCGCCCAGGCAGAGCCCCAGGAGGGCGCATCTGTCCACGCCGACCGGACCCGCCGAGGTCATGCTGCCTGTTCTCAGAGGGCCTTCATTTAAAGAAATTAACGGTGTTTGGGGTTTTTTTTTTTTTTTTTTTTTTTTTTTTTTTTCCTCAAGATTCTTTTAAAGGAGTACTGAAAAATACTTTCCTAAGTTTATATCTAAAATCTTAGCGGTGGACCTGGGAGATACGAGAAGCTTCCAGAAACACAGTTTAAACAAGCCAGCGCCACTGGAGAAGAGGAGCAACACCTGTGCCTAGGCCCAGAGGATTTTTGTTGTAGGTTTTAGCTTCCAACGGCTTCAAGAAGCGGGTGATCAGGCCGCTGGGGTAGCTGCCTGCCGAGCCTGGAAGGTGCTCGTTCTCCGCTGGACTCAGAAGCCAAGCTGCTTCCTGCCCGGACTCCGCGAAGGGCCCTGAGCCTGTGAGGAACGTGCTTTTGGCCTCACTGAGACGCGCCTTGGCCAGGACTGACCCTGTGGCCAGGGGCTGAGAATGTGGCTGTTCCCGGATCGATGGCTTTCTCCCGGGGTCCTTCGAAGGATTTGGTGGAAGGACAAGAGGGCCTGTCCCCGTCCCCAGCAGGTACCACAGTCCTGCGCTGGTTAGACACAGGGCGCTACACAGCACTCCCCTGAAGTGGGAGCTCTGCCTGTCAAGCAGCTTTGCTGATGGGGCCATGGCTGCCGTTGGGGTAAGGAAACAAGTCACAGAAATCACGTTCTGTGTGAGAGGCTGGGAGTGCGGGGTCGTTTTAGCTGGGAGAGCTGCTCCAGCCCCTCGAACACCTAGCTTGGGGCATCATTCTGCCTGGTGGCCAGGCCTGCAGCCTCCCCCAGCCTGGGCCTGGGGCTGTCCCTGGCACTGCGCTGAACGCGTCCAGGTTCCCGCTTCTGCATGGGACAGACGGGGACGTACAGGCCGCCTTCCTTCTGGCAGGGACTCATATTTATTCCCATTGCTCTAGGGCTTTCGGTTTCCCCTTCTTCCGGCAGGCCGTGTAGAGGCACAGTCCCGGCTAGGTTTCCGCTGTGACCCTGCAGTGGCCTGAGGGGCGCTGCCGCCCCACCCCAGCTGTTGGGCTGGGCCCCTTTGCCTCTGCTTCGCCCTGTGCTGTGTTCTCCAGCTGTGTAGCAGCAGCCACTGACCTTGACAAACCCAGGCGCGCTGTACCAAGGCAATGTAACTCTTGATTTTTGGTCAATTTAAATTCTTTTGTCACCAATAAAATATTAATAAACAGTTTTGCCTACACACCAAGGGCTGGATGAACTGCAGGGGACGGAGGGGGCTGGGGCCCCGCCTGGGTGAGGGGTCGGGGTATGAAGGAATCCAGAGGAAGACTGAGGCAAAGCCCAGAAAGGACACAGCTGCCTGCAGGACTGAACGAGGGCGACCCCTGCCCCTGGGTCCCTCCCGTGGGCAGCACCTGGGCCTATGGGGGCTGCTTCACCTTGGGTCGGAGGTCACCACCCCCACCCCCAGGCAAGGAGTCCGAGGAGACCAGCAGAGCAGACCACGGGGGCGTTTATTGGGCCCGCATTCCTGCCTGCGCCTGGTTAGCGGCAGCCACACTCGTCCACCACCATGTCCTCATACTGCCGCAGCACCACGTTATCGCTGTTGTCAAAGAAGAGCACGGAGATGGGCGACAGGCGCGCGGGCACGCAGCAGGGCAGGTCGGCGGCTCCAGGGGCGGCTGCGTGCATGAGCGCGCGCAGTACGGCGTGGTTGAGCGCAGGCGGACCCCCGGGCCCAGACAGCGCGGCGGGCAGCGAGCACTGACCCTGGCAATAGTTGGCCAGGAAGCCGCGCGGCGCGATGACCCAGTGGTGCCAGCCCACCTCGCGGAAGCTCACGTATAGCCGCCGTGCGCTACACGCGCCCCCAGGACCGCCGCCCAACACGGGTTCGGCGCCGCGCCGCGGCCGGGCAAGAGGGTGGCATAGGCGCGGGTCGAGGGTCACCAGCAGCAGCGAGGCGTCAGCCAGGCGCGCGCAGGCCGCAGGGACCCGGGGGCGCAGCGCCAGCGCCAGGCGGAGGCTACGCGGCCACGAGGCATTGCGATCCCAGGCGGCGCCCAGCAGCTCTGCGCGCACCGGCAGCCCCAGGGTGGGAACCGCCTGGCGGAGCAGCACCGGCCCGGGGCTCGCGCCTGCACCCTGGCCCGCCAGCGCCACGCTCAGCTCCCAGCCGCCCTCCGGAGCCGCTGCCGCCGCCGCCACGAAACGCAACTCCAGGCGGGCCAGGCTCGAGCGCTCAGCGGGTTCCACAGCCGACAGGTCGAAGACGACGGTCCACTCGGGGCAATGCCCCGCGGCCAAGGCAGGCTCCGGGGCCCGGGTGGGCGCACCTGGGGAGGCAGGGACAGGACTCGGCTCACGCTGCGTCCCGGGCCTGCCTATGGGGTCTCAGTTGGGGACAGGCAGGAAGGTGAACGGTGGGGCTGGGGGTGCACCGTCGGGGGGAAAGGTATGAAGCGGCGGGGCGGGCTGATGGAGTGGGGGCAGGGCGTGAGTTCCAAGGAAGGCACCCTGCGGGGTTCGGGGGTGGGGGCGGGCTGGCCTCCGCGGGGAACCGCAGTGGCTCACTCCTGTAATCCCAATACTTTGGGAGGCTAGGCGGGTGGATCACTTGAAGTCAGGAGTTTGAGACCCGACTGGTCAACGTGGTGAAACTCCATCTCTAGGAAGAGGGGTGGCCGAAGTGGGAGACAAGAGCCAGCGCCTGGGCCCCTGGGGAAGCCATGCTGGGGTGTGGAGGTGGCATCTGCAGGAAGGCATTAAAGGGTGTCAAGTGGCAGGGGTGGGGATGGGGTGGGGACGTGGTCTTGGGAACCCCTTGGCATCTGCAGCAAGCAGAGGACGAGGAAGGGGTAGGGTGAGGTGGCCCAAGTTGCTAGCAGCCTGGACGGGGCGGGTGGGGACTCTTGGAGCCTCTCGGGCACCCCCGCCCTGGAAGGTCTGGTTTCCGGGACCAGTGTCCCCAGCGAAAGTCCCACTCACCTCGGTCCGGGATGTGGCGCACAATGTTTCCGGCGACCCCCAGCTCCTCCACGTGGCACGGTTGCAGGGTGACCCCTGGGGACGTCCGTCGCGAGCCCGACCAGGTCTCTTGGGGGTCCCGGCGTCGAAACAGGCGCCACATGAGCGGGGGAACCGGACGGAGCCTGGGGGCGCCCTGAGGCGCATCGTGCAGTCCGAGAGCCTGGAGCAGGGCGGCGGTAGCGGGGCCTGAGGGCACGTGGGCGCGGGTCGGGGGCAGCGAGGGCAGCAGCAGGGCCAGGAGGAGGAGGTGGTGGTGGTGGCAGCTGGGACCTTGCCGCGGCGGTGGCATCTTCCTTCCAGGCGATGGACAGTGTGTGTGCAGGGTCCACCGCGGCGCGGGACCAGTGGGCTGAGGGCGGGGCCAGTGTTCCTAGAGGGGCAGGGGGTCCTGGGGGGCGTGGCCGGGGAGTAGAGGCAGGATGAGGCGGCGGGGGTCCCAAGGGAGGTGGCTGCGACCCTAGAGGACCAGAGGTAGAGGAGGGGGTGGGGGAGCGCCACGGATGGGGGCGTGGTTTTCGGGTGGGGCCGGGTCCACGGGGGCGGGGCCTAGGGGTTCAGAGGCGCTTGTCCTTCACCAGGCCGTTCCTCAGTGGCTTCCTGGGGGCCAGAACCAGCTCAGGTTAGCCTGGGAGCCCCACCCAGCCGCCTGCTCCTCTGTCCCGCTGCTTCCCTGGACGTTTCACACACCCCCATCTACTTTTACCCAGCCAAGCCGGCCTCACCTTGTGGTTTCCTCCTCTCCTTCACCCTGCCCCGTAGGCATGTTTACCCTCCTGGCACCCTGGCACTTCCTCCTTGCTTCCTCCTCCCTAATTAACCCTCACTCTTCCCCTCCTCCCTGCCTCTCCAGGCTGCTGGAGGGCAAAAGCCACCCACCAGCCTGGACCTGACAACTTCACGGCCTCTGTCACACGATCCTCCTCTCCTCTGCTACCCCACCCCACGAAGGCTAGTCCTTGGCTCCAGTGGCCCTGGCTGGCATCTGATGTCCTCCCTACCATGGCTTTTTTTTTGACTGGGTCTCACTCTATGGTCCAGGCTATAGCAGTGGCATGATCATAGCTAGTTGTATCTTTGACCTCCAAGGCTCAATGGATCCTCCCACCTCAGCCTCCAGAGTAGCTGGGATTACAGGGGCATGCCACCATGCCCAGCTTTTTGGTTTGAGTCTCGCTGTCGCCCAGGCTACAGTGCGGTGGCACTATCTCAACTCACTGCAACCGCTGCCTGGTAGATTCAAGCGATTCTCCTGCCTCGGCCTCCCAAGTAGCTGGAATTACAGGCGCCTGCCACCATGCCCAGCTAACTTTTGCATTTTTAGTAGAGACAGGGTTTTGCCATATCAGCCAGGCTGGTCTTGAACTCCTGACTCAGGTGATCCCCCTGCCTTGACCTCCCAAAGTGCTGGAATTACAGCTGTGAGCCACCACGTCTGACCCCAACTAACTTTATTGTTTGAGACAAGGTCGCTTTGTTGCCCAGGCTGGTCTCAAACACCTGGGCTCAAGCAGTCAGCCCGCCTCTGCCTCCCAAAGGGCTTTTGTCACTTTAATTTGCTCCTCCCTTAGGTGGAAGCCCAGCTTCTCTGCATGCATTTCATAGCCAGCTAGCTGTCCCCATCTGAGGGTCCTTATCTGAGACGAGATAAGCCCTGCTTGGACCTCCCATCTGTCACTTGTCTTCTGACTTTGCCCGCAGTCCTTGGGACTGTGAGTGGTGGGTCTTCATCCACCCTTGTGGCTTGTCAATTCTTCCCATAAACAAACCTGTGTGACACAATCTCCCCTTTTGGCTCTGAGGTGACTTCAGGGATTCCATTTCTGCATTGACACCTTGGGTACAACGGGTGGGTGCGGGGTTTGCCCTGGGGCTTACAGGAGACAAAGACACACCTTCACTGTGTTTTCCAGATGGCCCCCATGTGTCCTTATTCCTGCCCTCCAGGATGGTCTTTAGTATTTGCTAAAGGTTTCGAGGTCTTATGCTAATTTCTCAACTCAGTTCCCATGGAGAGTGTAGATTCCTCTAATGGTAAAGTTTAGCATCTTCGGTGATGGGCTTTCCCGCTCCGGGGCTTTTTATCAGAGCTTTCCTGCTGATTCTTGTTTGTTTTTTCTGCACAAGCTTCAAAGTGTTCCCTACCCACTCAAAAGCAGCTGTCAGTATTTGCCTTTTGGGGTATGGGTGGGGGTATACCCACCTTGGGGAAGATAGCTTTTCTCTTTTTTTTTCAGACAGAGTCTCGCTTTGTCACCCAGGCTGGAGTGCAGTAGCACAATCTCGGCTCACTGCAGCCTCTGCCTCCTGGGTCGCTAGCAGCCGGGATGGGACAAGTAGCTGGGATTACAGGCACCCGCCACCACACCCGGCTAATTTTTGTATTTTTAGTAGAGACAGGATTTCACATGTTGGCCAGGCTGGTCTCGAACTCCTGACCTCAGGTGATCAGCCTGCCTCAGCTTCTCAAAGTGCTGGGATTATGGGCATGAGCCACCAGGCAGCCAAGATGGCCTTACTCTGATTGACACCTTTCGGCTTCTATCCACCACTGTGGTGAAAAGAGTCAGAGCGAGGGTGCAGAGAGGGAATGATGACGCAGGCACTTTCTAGATGTTTCTTCATAGATGAGGAGGAGAGGGAGACAGAGGAGAGGGGCCCCCTGGGGTCTTGCAAGGGTTTTGCCTGGAACTGCTGTCCACATTGATAGACTGGCGTTCCAGAGAGGGAGTCTGGGGTGAAACTGGGGGCTGCTTTGGGATTTTTTGAGAGAGTCTTACTCTGTCGCCCAGGCTGGAGTGCAGTGGCGCGATCTCAGCTCACCACAACCTCCGCCTCCCAGGTTCAAGCAATTCTCCTGCCTCAGCCTCCAGAGTAACTGGGATTACCGGCATGCACCACCATGCCTGGCTAATTTTTGTCTTTTTAGTAGAGACGGGTTTTCACCATGTTGGCCAGGATGATCTCAAACTCATGACCTCATGATCTGCCCGCCTTGGCCTCCCATAGTGCTGAAATTACAGGTGTGCGCCACCTGGCCTGGCCTTGATTTGGGATACTTTAGAAGATGCTCAAAATGTCAAACGCAGAAGATGGAGAAAGGCGCTCAGGGGAGCTTCATGAGCTGGGAGAGAAACATGCAAGCTGGTATGGATTAAGTGTGGGCAGAGAGGCCGGGCGCAGTGGCTCACGCCTCTAATCCCAGCACTTTAGGAGGCCAAGGCAGGTGGATCATGAGGTCAGGAGTTTCATACCAGCCTGGCCAACATGGAGAAACCCCATCTCTACTAAAAATACAAAAATTAGCTGGGCATGGTGGTGTGCTCTTGTAGTCCCAGCTACTCAGGAGGCTGAGGCAGGAGAATCGCTTGAACACGGAAGGCAGAGGTTGTGGTGAGCCGAGATCGCACCACTGCACTCCAACCTGGGCAACAGAGCAAGACTCCATCTCAAAAACAAACAAACAAATAAATGTGAGCAGAGAAAGGGCTCTGGAAGAGCAGGAGGTCAGCCAGGAGGCTGGAGAGACAGAGCAGGAGCGCAGGGCAAAGAAAGGGCATCAAGGACTGGGCGTGGTGGCTCACACGTGTAATCACAGCATTTTGGGAGGCTGAGGTGGGCAGATCACTTGACCTTACGAATTCGAGATCAGCCTAGGCCGAGAGAGAGATCAGCCTGGGCAACACAATGGAACTCCGTCTCTACAAAAAAATTAAAAATTATCCGGGGCCGGGCATGGTGGCTCATGTCTGTAATTCTAGGACTTTGGGAGGCTGAGGTGGGCGGATCACCTGACGTCAGGTGTTCAAGACCAGCCTGGCCAACATGGTGAAACCTCATCTCAACTAAAATGAGGGAGCTGCCGTGGCTCAGGCCAGTTGTCCTGGCGCTTGAAGAGGCTAGGCTACGAGCTCAAGGCCAGACTGGGCAACATGAGAACCAATCATTCATTAAAAGATAAATAAATAAATACAACAATTAGCCGGGCATGGTGGCACATGCCTGTAATCCCAGCTACTTGGGAGGCTGAGGCAGGAGAATCGCTTGAACCTGGGAGGCGGAGGCTGCAGTGAACAAAGATGCACCACTGCACTCCAGCCTGGGCGACAGAGTGAGACTCTGTCTCAAAAAAAAAAAAAAAAAAAAAAAAGGAGTGGGGAGGGGACCCTCAGGGGTTAGCACCAAGAGAGCCACAACGGGGCAGGACAGGAGTGGTTGTGGGGATGGGGGGAGGAAGATCAGGCACTGCTGGGTTTGAGGGGGACCCAGGAGGATCGAGGAATTCTGCAACAAGGGAGGGAAAGAGGCTGATGAGGCTGGTGGAGAAGAAGAGAGAGTTCACTCCTTGCTTGAAATGTCCTTGAATAGGCCAGTTGGGCGGACGTCCCTAGCCTCAGAGGGAGAGGGACTGTCGTCCACTGTAGCAGCAGGTGGACGTCCTCACCCGGACACCCCGTTTTCTTGGGGACATGTTGGCCAGATGATAGGTGCAGGGGATGAGTATGATGGTGGGGAGGCGAGTGCCCAGGAACCGCAGGAGGGAAGCTGCTCCGGCATGCGCCAGGCATAGGGGCTGAACTTGACAGTTTTCTATTTTTAGTTTTTGAAACAGGGTCTCGCTCTGTTACCCCAGCTGGAGTGCAGTGGTGCACTGCAGCCTCAACCTCCTGGGCTCAAGCCATCCTCCAGACCCAGCCTCCCAAAGTGCTGGGATTACAGGCTCGAGTTGCCGTGCCCAGCCCAGTTCTTTAGACACTGCAGGGGTGGCAGCAGGTGCAGCAGAGGTGAAAATAGGATTTACAGAGTATTGGGTGCAGGTCACCAGGGCCAGAGAGAGGTGAGAGTCCCTCAATTGATGGGCGGTCCTGGCAGCCCCTGAGAGGGCAGTGAGGGCTTTGGACAGAGGGCTGGGTCATGACAAGGACACAGGAATGGCCGCAGGAGGCTATAGGCATCAGTGTAGGAGGGAAGGGTACTGGCTACACATATCACCAGGGGTCCCACAAGGAGCATGGGGAGGACAGGGAATTTGGGGGAGGGGTGCAGATGAGGGGACCCTGGAGGTGAGGCTGCTCAAGAAGCAGCAATGGAGGCCGGGCGCCGTGGCTCACTCCTGTAATCCCAGCACTTTGGGAGGCTGAGGCAGGTGGATCACCTGAGATCAGGAGTTCAAGACCAGCCTGACCAACATGGAGAAACTTCGTCTCTACTAAAAATACAAAATTAGCCAGGCGTGGTGGCACACGCCTGTAATCCCAGCTACTCAAGAGGCTGAGGCAGGAGAATTGCTTGAACCTGGGAGGCAGAGGTTGCGGTGAACCGAGATCACGCCACTGCACTCCAGCCTGGGCAACAAGAGTGAAACTCCGACTCAAAAAACAAAAGCAGCAGCAATGGGGTGATATGGGGTGAGGAAGGGATCGAGCCAATTAATTGCTCTCTGATTTGCTTCATGTCTTCTGAGTTATCTAGAAGTGGTTCTCAGTCTTTGTTTTCTTAAGGGTTTCAAACATAATTGAATTTTCAGAACCAGTGAAGTGGCTCACGTCTGTAATGCCAGCACTTTGGGAGGCTGAGGCAGGAGGGTGGCTTAAGGCCAAGAGTTTGAGACCAGACTGGATAACATAGATCTCGTCTCTACAAAAAAATTTAAAATTAGCTGGATGTGGCCGGGCAAGATAGCTCGTGCCTGTAATCCTAGCACTTTGGGAGGCCGAGATGGGTGGATCACCTGAGGTCAGGAGTTCAAGATCAGCTTGGCCAACATAGTGAAATCCTATCTTAAAAAAAAAAAAAAAAAAAAAAAATTAGCTGGATGTGAGGGTGGGTGCCTGTGGTCCCAGCCGCCTGAGAGGCTAAGGCAGGAGGATCACTTGAGCCCAGGAGGTTGAGGCTTCAGTGAGCTGATTGAGCCAGTGCACTCCAGCCTGGGTGACAGAGTGGGACCCCAGCTCTAAAAAACAAAAAAGAAACAGGCCAGGCGCAGTGGCTCACGCCTGTAATCCCAATGCTTTGGGAGGCTAGGCAGGTGGATCACTAGAGGTCAGGAGTTCGAGACCAGCCTGGCCAACATGGTGACACCCCATCTCTACTAAAAATCACTTCTTGGGCCTGGGAGGCAGAGGTTGCAGCAAGCCGAGATTGTGCCACTGCACTCCAGTCTGGAAGACAGAGTGAGACCCTGTCTTAAAAAAAAAAAAAAAAAAAAAAGAATTCTTGACTGTCGCTCAAAGGGCAGTGCAATCTAACACCCTCGAAAGGAGTCTCCTACCATTGCGCCTGCTGAACCCACGTGACCCTGCCCCATCCCGTCTCAGTCAACGTGAGCTGGAGCCAGAAGCCTTGGGTCATCTTTGATCTGTTTATTTCTGTTTCATTGACACCCAAGGCAGATCTGGTGAGGTCTCCCTTCCAAACGGGGTGGGGTGTCTGACGCGCCTCTGCCCGGCCACAGCCCCGGATGTGTTAAACGCCTACATCTCCAACCTCCCGTTCCAAACATCACGGAGCTCTGAGCCACTGCTGCCCTGAGACCATCATTCCCGGGTCACCGCTGGCCCCACTGGCCGAATCAAAGGGCCTGGCTGGTCGGTGCCTTCCAGGGCCTTCCATAACCTCCTGCCCTGTCAGCTGAAACACTCCTCAAGTTGCCTGAGACACCGCACGCCTCCACCTGCCTGTCACCAATTCTGCCTCCGTTCACCCCTGGCCCAGGTGCCCCCAGCTCCACTGCCGCCGGCTCCATTGGGGATGTGGGTGGGGTGTCATCGCCCAGCCTGGCCAACAGCTAGTCCTCACCACTGACGGGGCCTCGGCTCGCCCACTCCGGCCACACCAGCCACCAGGCCTGACCCTGAGTGTCCCCACTGCTAAGACCCTGCCTGTCACCCTGCCCTCCCCTCTCCTTCCTCACTGTCCTGTCTTTCAGGGCAGTTAACTCAGTGGCCACATCGTCCACGCCTTTATTGCAGTCTCTGTCCTGGAGCAGGCTTGGGGAGCAGCATCTGCATCAGCCTCATCTGCTGCTGGGTCTTGGGGGCCTGCCCATGAGCGTGCTCGGACGGGTTTCACTAAAGGAGGGAACGCGGGGCGCAGGCCCCTCCACACTCACTCGGCTTTGCTGGGCTTCAGGCTCTGGGCCTCCGCTGCGTCATACTCCCGAAGGTCTTTCAGCTCTCGCACCTGGCCCGTCAACACCTTGGCTGCAAACACCACGATGTACTGCGAGAAGGGAGGGGACACGCGGGTGAGAAGGAAGTCCCCCT